GCCATCCGGTTCGCAAACGTTCTACTTACCTGTTAGACATGATTCCACTGTGAGCTGAAATGACATGAATTGACAATGAGGTTGTAAGTCCCATAAATATACACCCGCCAGAAAGCTTTTAGAGTTGTTAAGGTAGATGTAAGTAAGCATCTTATTACAAGGCCCCTAGCCTCTGGCAGTCACCAGTTTATCTTCTGTCTCCGTGGATTTGCCTGTTCTGGACATTTCATATAAATGGACTTATATAATATGTGGCTTTTTAAACTTAACTATAGTTGATTTACAATATTGTGTTAGTTGCAGGTGTACATCTTCAGGTTTTCCATTATAGGTTATTATTAGATACTGAATATAGTTCCCTGTGCAGTACAGTAAATCCTTGTTCTTTACCTATTTTATATGTAGTGGTGTGTATCTGCTAATACCATACTCCTAATTTATCCCTCCCCTTCCCTTTCCTTTTTGGTAACCATAAGTTTGTTTTCTACGTCTGTGAGTCTGTTTCTGTTTTGTAAATAAGTTGTATTATTTTTGGGGGATTCCACATGTAAGGGATGTCATATAATATTTGTCTTTCTCTGTCTGACTTCACTTAGCATGATAATCTCTAGATCCGTCCATGTTGCTGCAAATGGCAATATTTCATTCCTTTCTTTATGGCTGAGTGATGGTTCATTGTATATATGGACCACATCTTCTTTATCCATTCATCTGTTGATGGACACAAGTTACTTCCATGTCCTGGCTATTGTAAATAGTGCTGCTATGAACATTGGTGTGTATTATGTGGGTTTTGTGACTACTTTCTTCCACTTAGCACAATGTTTTCTGGGTTCGTTATGTTGTAACATGTATCAGAGCTTCATTCCTTTTCCTAGACAAATACTACTCCATTGTATGAATATGCCACACTTTATTTATCCAGCCATCAGTTGATGGAGATTTGTTTCCACATTTTGGCGGCTGTATTAGTGTGTAAGTTTTGTATGGACATATGTTTTCCATTCTCTTTGGTATATATCTAGGTGTGGAGTTGCTGGCTCACGTGGTAACTATACGTTTAACTTTTTGCAGAACTGTTTTCCTCAATGGCTGCACCACTTTATATTCCCACCAGCAATGTACGAGGGCTCCAGTTCATCCACATTCTCGCCAACACTTGTTATTGTCTGCCTTTTTTTTTTTTTTTTTTGCAGTACGCAGGCCTCTCACGTTGTGGCCTCTCCCGTTGCGGAGCACAGGCTCCAGACGCGCAGGCTCAGCGGCCATGGCTCACGGGCTCAGCCGCTCCGCGGCATGTGGGATCTTCCCGGACCGGGGCACGAACCCGTGTCCCCTGCATCAGCTGGTGGACTCTCAACCACTGCGCCACCAGGGAAGCCCTTGCCTGCCTTTTTTATTATAGCTATCCTAATGGATGCAAAGTGGTGTCGCACTGTGGTTTTGTTATGCATTTCCCTAATGACTAATGATGCTGAGCGTCTTCTTATGTGTTTATTGGCTATTTGTAAATCTTCTTTGGAGAACTATTCAAAGCCTTTACCTATTTTTAAATTGGATTATTTGTCTTTTTATATTAGATTGTAAGAATCCTTTATACATTCTGGATATGACCCTTATCAGACATATAACCTGCAAGTATTTTCCTAATGCATTTTTATCTAATTTCCTCTTCTTTTGTCATTGGAAGAAACAGAAAAACTAAAGATTCAATATGACATTCCAGTTGTACATATTCTTTGTCAATGTCCTTTTGCTTCTTCCTTTTTTTTTTTTCTTTCCCTAACTTTTAAATTTGGGCTTTTTAAAAAAAAAAAAAAAAAGATTTTTTAAAATTGAAGTATCTTTTGCTTCTATAAGCTGGGCCTTCCCCATGAGAAAAACACACAATTGAAGTAACTTTCCTGAGATAATACAGAAGTGTACCTAAATTATCTAGTGTGTAGAAATACTAAGAAAATGTCTGACCAAGGAAAGAAAAAGATTTTAATTAATCGGTTACGAAGGGATTTGAGAAGGAAAGCTGATACTCTAATAATGTAAAGACAAAGTAGGAGATACTGATAATGAATTCAATTGAACATTAATGGAATTAGGCATCCTTTGTACAAAGGAACATACTAACTATGGCATTGAGAATGAGAATTTGTCCTTCAAATGGTATTCATTGAGCACTTCACTAATGCCAGGCGTGCATAGGTAAGACTTAAGAGACACAGGCTCCTCCCTGCTTATTTGCCATCGGTCATTTGAATCCAGAGAGTGAGATGTAACACATGACCACATATATAAAGGGCCCCCCTTTGTTAAAACCATGCCCTTCCACAACAGGGGAGGAGTAGAATTCCACATTGTAGCTGTGATTTCCACCAGCTCAGCATCTTTACTTCCTGTCTGTCCATCCACCTCTCCATCCTTTCCGTTTCATCCAACTCAACCTGACTTGGCCTTCAAATGTAAGATACTAACCTCCTGAAAGTTCCTTCCATTCTTTACTGCTCTATTCCCATCTTAAGGCTGTGTTCAAATTTTCTAGTCCCAGTAATTGTTCCCCAGGATGCATTTCATTTTCTGTCTGACTTTCTTTCTTTTCACTCGTGAGGACTGCCTGGGTCTCAGTCCCTGGGCCCAGACCCAGATCCCTCCCTCCGAGAAGACCACTCGGCCCCCTTAGTCTGCCAGGACAGGGGGTGTTTGCACGCGCACCCGGCCCCTTGCTGATCCTGCTTCACTCACTTCCTTTCCGCCTTTTTCTCCTGGTTGACTGAGCTGCAGGCAAATGTGACTCATGCAGCAGCAAAGCTTTCCCTGGAAAATGGGACAAGACTCCGATGTACTTAGAAGTGCTTTCAGCCTGGCAGAGCCCTGTCCATCCACTCCTGCCTTTCATTTTCCAGGGTAGGAAACTGAGGGCCTGAAAGCCGGAAGACAGACGAATGGATAATACGGTATTCAGTTTCCGTAACATCCCCTGTCTCCACCGCACCATCTCTGCAGCTGGCTCTCCTCCTGGCCCAGCACCCCCTGCCACCTGGCTTCTGCTCTCCCTGTCCACCCCGTCTTTCCTTTCAAGTGAATGAAGTGGTCCAGCACCAGGCAGCTTCCCCTCTTCTAGTTCATCGTTTGCTGCACACCTCTCAGCAAGGTAGACAATAGGATTTTGGAAAAGAACAACTGAACCTTCAGTGCAGGGATGGGGACGCTAGGTAATGTGTGTGTTACACGTTAGACTAGAGAGACAGCCCCTGGAGGTGCCGTGATGCGGGATAAGGAAAAAAGCTGAGCGCACTCTGAGGGTTCCTGACTCTGTGGGGGCTGCTGTCCTATTTCTTTCTTTCTTTTTTTGGCTGTGCCTCACGGCATGCGGGATCTTAGTTCCCGGATCAGGGATCAAATCCATGTCCCCAGCAGTGGAAGTGCAGAGTCTTAACCAGTGACCCACCAGGGAATTCCCTGCTGTGCTATTTCAACATCATCCAGGCTGAGGCCAGGGGGACCATGGAGTTAAGATGCTCAGGTGGCCGCAGCTGAGCACTGCGCCCTGCCGGCCCAAGGCGGGGTCTCAGCTGAGCTGGCAGATGGCAGAGGGAGCTTGGCTGGATCATGGAAGTGGTTGCAGGGCAGCATCCGGTCAACAGGCCAGCACTGCCGGGGAGGAGCTGCCAGGGCACCCCAGCCAGCACCCAGGAAGATCATCAGATGGTGGGGATGAGGTGTCAAAGGATCCCCATAGTGACTCCACGACCACATGGTCCCAATCTGGCTGCTAGCTCAGGGACTGGGAACATGACTGACGTTTGATTCTGGAACCCTCTGGCCTGGGAACATCACTGAGGTTTTCTTTCTGGAACCCTCTGACCAGGTTTGATTCTGGAACCCTCTGGCCTGGGAACATGACTGAGGTTTGATTCTGGAACCCTCTCGCCTTGGGACATGACTGAGGTTTGATTCTGGAACCCTCTGTCATGGAACATGACCAGGTTTGATTCTGGAACCCGCTGGCCTGGGAACTTCACTGAGGTTTGATTCTGAAACCCTGTGGCCAAGGAACATGACTGAGGTTTGATTCTGGAACCCTCTGGCCTGGGAACATCACCAGGTTTGATTCTGAAACCCTCTGGCCTGGGAACATGACTGACGTTTGGTTCTGGAACCCTGTGGCCTGGGAATATGACTGAGGTTTGATTCTGGAACCCTCTGGCCTAGGAACATGACTTAGGTTTGATTCTGGAACCTTCTGTCCTTTGAAGGTGACCAGGTTTGATTCTGGAACACTCTGGCCTGGGAACATGACTGAGGTTTGATTCTGGAACTCTCTGCCCTGGTAACATGACTGAGGTTTGATTCTGGAACCTTCTGGCCTGGGAATATGACTGAGGTTTGATTCTGGAACCCTCTGTCATGGAACATGACCAGGTTTGATTCTGGAACCCGCTGGCCTGGGAACTTCACTGAGGTTTGATTCTGAAACCCTGTGGCCAAGGAACATGACTGAGGTTTGATTCTGGAACCCTCTGGCCACAACAGTGAGAGGCCTGCGTACTGCAAAAAAAAAAAGACTTAGATTCTATCCCCAAAGTTGCCAAAAATAGGGGGGAGGTGGTGAAGGCAGTGGGGCTCCCAAGGGCTAGCTTGTGAGAAAGGTTTTAGTGACCCTCCACCCTTCCATGATTTTCATTGCCTTTACCCCAAATAACTTTCAGTTTAATAGAGTGTGTTTGCTATGTACCTGCAGCTTCAAGAATAATCCCCTAACCATCCCTCCTCTACAGATGCCACTGCTAAGCTCCTCCGTAGAAATTCTGGAGCCATCACTGGGTGAAGTGGGCAGGTTGGGAACCACTTTGCTTTGATTCATGACCTGTCAAAACCACGGTGATGCCATGCTGCCCTCACACCCCCATGCTATATTTCCTGGTCAGAGACACATACTAAACTCCCAGCTCAAGTCAATCCACAACCCTGCATTGAAAAGGCCTTTTCTGGTGTTTGTTAGATCCCAGGACTGCCTTTTGGGAACTGCCTGCTGGTCAGTGATGGCCCCTTCAACAACAGCACGGGGGTTCCTTTCTTCTATGTGACACCCAAGGACCTCCTGGTGGCTGATCTGATGAAGAACCCCACGGCCTCCCTCCTGCTGCCGGAATCCGAAGGAGAGTTCTGCAGGTAGGCAAGGGCCCGGCCTCCCCCATCCGGGTCCTCTGCACAAGGCAGGGAGGCTGTGGCTTTAAAGGGGCCCTGAGATGCAAAGCAATGTCTTTGCCACTTGGCCAGGGGGCGGGTTCTGGGCCTGGCTCTGGGTCTCACCAGCACCGAGACTGTGGCTAAGTCCCTGGGTTCTCCACTTTGCTTTCCTCACCTATGAAATTAAGTGGTGGACTGGGTAGTCTTGAAGGTTCTTTTTTGCTTTGAAAAAAATTATTGAAATGACGACTTTATTCTGATAAAGTGATCTTAACTTCTTACGTGGCTTCCAAATGGTTTTTCACAGTTATATCTTAGGCTCCTAAGACACATCTCCAGAAGATACAAAACTTAAATATGAAGCTGATCTTGGTTTAGAATACAAGTCATTTAAAACAATTAAAAGCCTAGAGCCAATGTGTTTCCAGATACCTTGGCAATGTATGCTGTAGAAATGTATTTTCATGTGGAAAGAGTATATATAGCCGTGGAATCAGATCAATAGAATTCTACCACTCACCAAGATGTGTGATTTGGGGCAAGTTATTGAACCTTTGGGAGCCTCAGTTTCCTCATCTGTAAAATGGGAATAGTAGTTTCTACCTCCTAGGGTGATGGGGAGAGTTGGAAAGATTGGCAGCGTCAACACCGGGTGGATAAATGGCAGCTCTCTTTGTTATGGCAAAGGTGGGGGTGGGGGAGGGGAGGGGAGGGGAGTGAAGGAAGAGCCAGTGGTTTGTCTCCAAGGCACATGCAGCATAGAATCCACTTATTGTTTTTCAAATTAATTTCTGCCTGCCCCAGTGAGGTGTGTGCAATAAAGACCCAGAGTCCCTTAAATCACTTTCTCAAAAACTCTCTCAAAGAAAGGACAGTTGGGCAAAAATGGAACACTGTATCCAACACCTTTGTCTGAAATCAGAATGTGGAGCTTGAGGTCCAATCCTGCCACCGCCGTGTCTGTGCCGAGCTTGGGGAGGGTGGGGGGCAGGACGCACGTGGGAGGGCACCCCTGCAGTAGTAGCAGAGGCAGTGGGGGACCTTGGGCAAGTCCCTTCACCTGTAATGTAGTGATGCTTTAAGAACTGGGATAAGATACCCCCAGCTCCAAAATGCTATGACTCTTTATGCAAAATATGAAAAACACATTCAGCAAACAAATGTGTCAGTTCTTTGAGGAGGGGAAGTGGTAATAATCAAAGCAACAATGCACCATAAAATGCAGCCTGGATAGGACCCTGTCGCTTACCCCTGGGAGCTGGTGGGAGCTCCATCCATCAGGGTGGAGGCAGTTCAGCTGACCCAGTGCCCTATCGGGGATGGCAGGAAGCCAGGAAAAGGAGTGCCTCCTCTTTTCATGGAATAGTCTCCATGTTCTTGACTATTTCATGGAATGGTCTCAACAAGCTTGCTGTTACTAGAAGTATATTCCCAGGTACCTTTCTAGACGTCTCAGGTGTTCCTCATTCAGGCAGCCTAAAGGCAGCCATTGTGCAGGGCACGTTGATCGCAGACCCCAGAGCACACCTGTCCCTGGAGGTGGGCACAGAATACAGAGCAGAGGATGTACCGCAGCACTCAGGTTGTGGAGGGAATTGTCTCCTGGAAGGTCCCAGGCAGCCGTCAGCAGGAGCTTGGGGCCATGAGAAATCCAGCTTAGAGAGGCCCTCTCCGGGGGCTGGGGCTGGGCACGCTTGGGGCCATGTGTGCGGACCCTCTTCACAGCAGGTCGCGCTTGGAGTTGCAGACCTCCGTGCAGCACACCAGGGTACCTGGATGAGGCAGCTCGCGGCCGGAGGGGACCACCCAGCCCCATCCCCCCCCCCCAGGGCCAAGGGCACCAGTATCCCAGACCCTTGTAACTCTGGCCTGGAGGAGGAGGGATGAGCCACCACCCACTGGTACCCCTCTGTCTAAGCCCTCATGTGAAACTCTACTCCCTCGCACTGTGCCAGCTTCTGAAGTCTTAAAATATAATGTAAATAAATATCTACACAATTAACTGTGGTCTTAGTAAGCATCTCGCCTCGAAGCAGGGATTTTCAGACAATGAGGCTTGTTGTCCCCCCAGGGTCCACTACTTTCCAGGACCTGCTTCAGCCCAGGTGTGATTCATCTGCGTGAAGCTCACATTCCGAGTGCAGCGTCACCCTGTAGGTTTTGCCTCCAGAATCTTGGTAATGTTGAGCACAGAGACTTAACAAGTCAAAGGCGGGCAAAGAGCAGAGCCCTGAATTGAACAACGCTCCTCGGGCCACGGGAGCCTAAAGAAGCATCAGGTGGAAACGTCTGTGGCTAAGAACTTCCCTGACAAGTTCAAGGGGCCGCCTGCAAGGCTGCAGGAAGCTGCCCCTCCTGCCTGATCCCGGCCTGCAGAGATTCCCACAGAGCAGGGAGATCCAGAAAAGCACCCACTTCTCACGATGATGACGGTAAATCAAGGACACCTGATCCTTTGACCTTTGGAAAGCATGAGAATCGCCTCCGTTCTGTGAAGCAGGTGTTCTTGTGAACTGCAAACTTTCAGCAGCATTTTTACCCTCAGATCTGGTGCATTCTGTGCGCTCATGTCCCTCTGCCTGTCTGCGCACTGGGGTGGAGGTGGATTTTCCCTAAGCGGGAAGACAAAGCCAGGACCCGGCCTGTCTACACGATGCATCCTGAGACTCCTGTAGGCCTGGGGCGCCATGTTTGTCTGAGGAGCCCTCAGAGCCTGAACCATAAACCAAGGTCGGACAGAGAGGAAGCAGCGTGGCCACTGATGCTCTGAGAGGAGGAAAGAGGTGCCTTCCCAGCCGTTTCCTGCAGGGTCCACTGGGCATCTCAGCTGCAGGCCTGCCTCTGCATCCATCAGGGTTAGCCCTGGTTCCTGCAGAGTCTGGACTGGGGCAGTCTGGTGAGCTCGGCCTCCACCGACAGGACATAGCTTGAGAAGGAAGCCATCCAACAAACAGAAGCGAATGTAAGTCTGATTCCACTGCAAGGGCAGGCTGAGCTGGCCCTCTGTACTTTAGAGCTCCGTTGGGTGTGCAGGACAATTGTATGTACAATGTGTATGTGTTTAATAAGCAGATGGGTGGACAAGACAGAGAGAGAGAGAGGGAGAGAGGGATGATGATAGATAGATAGATGTGTGTGTGTGGCTTCACGTATTCAACTATTACCTGTTCTGAGAACATATACTACAGTTGCCCCCAACTGGCCTCCCCAGTTCACTCTCTCTCACCTTGATTTCATCCTCAATCCAATATCTGAAGTAATATTTCAAAACCCATATAAGACCCTGGGATTCTCCTGCTTAAACTCTTTCACTAGGAGAAATAGCAAACTCCTGAATATGGCCTAGGAGGCCCTGCCTGGAGGACACCCGCCTCCCTCTCAGAATAAATAATAGTGGTTAACCCTTTGCTGATTGACTTAGTATGTGACTTATACCCTAGTTTTATTAAATGGAGAGGTTTAACCTGAAAACTTGTAATCTAAACTGATGTATGTGTCTGGCATACAGCTAAGAAATGCTTTTTTAAAAAATTGAGATATAATTGATGTATAACGTTGTGCATGGTGTTAATTTGGTACATGTATGTATTGCAATATGGTTATCCCTGAAGTCTTAGCCAACATCTCTGTCACGTCACATAATTATCATTTCTTTTTTGGGGTGAGAACATTTAAGATCTAGTCTTTTAGCAACTTTGAAGTTTATAATACAGTATTGGGGGCTTTTTTGTTGGGTTTTGTTGTTGTTGTTGTTTTAAGTTTTATTTAAATTTTATTTTTTTTGGCTGCGTTGGGTCTTAGTTGCGACACACGGGATCTTAGCTGCTGTGCTCAGGCTTCTCTTTAGTTGTGGTGTGCGGATTTTTTCTTCTCTAGTTGAGGCACGTGAGCTCAGTAGCTGTGGCACTCGGGCTTAGTTGCCCAGCAGCATGTGGGATCCTAGTTGCTTGACCAGGGATCCAACCCACGTCCTCTGCATTGGAAGGCGGATTCTTTACCACTGGACCACCAGGGAAGTCCCTGTAACACAGTACTGTTGAATATACTCACTGTGTTGTGCATTAGATCTCCAGGACTTATTCGTCTTCTAACTGCGAGTTTGTGCATTTTGACCAACATCTCCCCAGTTCCCGAACCCCCAGGCCCTGGTAACCTGGTAATCATTAAATCTCTGTTTCTATGAGTCTGGCTTTTTTAGTTTCCACATATAAGGGATATCATGCAGTATTTGTCTTTATCTGATTTACCTCAGCATAATGTCCTCAAAGTCCATCCGTGTATTGCAAATGGCATTATTTCACCCTTTCTTATGGCTGAGTAGTATTCAATGGTATATATGGGTACCACATCTTCTTTATCCATTCATCTGTTGTTGGACATTTAGGTTGTTTCCACATCTAGGCTATTGTAAATAGTGCTGCTATGAACATTCGGGTGCGTGTATCTTTTCGAATTAGAGTTTTCATCTTTTCTGGATATATGCCCAGGAGTGGGATTGCTGGATCATATGGTAGCTCTATTTTTAGTTTTTTAAGGAACATCCATACTGTTCTCTATAGTGGCTATACCAATTTACATTCCCACCAACAGTGTAGGAAGGTTCCCTTTTCTCCACACCCTCTCCAGCATTTATTACTTGTAGACGTTTTGATGATGGCCATTCTAACCAGTGTGAGGCGATACCTCATTGTAGTTTTGATTTGCATTTCTCTAGTAATTAGCGATGTTGAGCATCTTTTCATGTACCTGTTGGCCATATGTATGTCTTCTTTGGAGAAATGTCTATTCAGATCTTCTGCCCAGTTTTTGATTGGGTTGTTTATTCTTTTGATATTGAGTTGTATGAGCTGTTTGTATATTTTGGATATTAACCCCTTGTCAGTTGCATCATTTGCAGATATTTTCTCCCAGTCCATAGGTTGTCTTTTTCTTTTGTTGATTGTTTCCTTTGCTGTACGAAAGCTTTTAAGTTTGATTACGTC